AACCTTTAGAGTACGGAGCAGAGCGCGGAGATGAACACTCCATATGGAGCCGATGTTCATGATTGCTCTTGTTTTGAACAAATATCAGGTAACAATCCTTTGTTATTTTATATTTTAATTTTAATTGTGGACCGAGTTTCAAATTTGAGTTAAACATGGCTTATTAATATATTAAAAGAGTAAAGTTAAAGTAAGCAATGTAATAGAAATGACGCATAATTAGGACCTTATATGCTCGGCCAAAGCGGTTTTCGCTGATCAAATGTATATTCACAGTACTCTGATCAAATATATACTCACAGTACTCCAAGGATTAAGATACATTGTGGAGGAGCTAAAAATAAATGACGTCGACACAAAAATTGTTTTTTTAGCTGCCCAAAAACATGTCCCAAATCCATCAGAATCAGTGGGGGACTTTTGCTTATACTGAAAGTTTGCGTATCAAAATTCCCACGAGGAAATTTCGACTCGATTCTCATCGTTGTTATGCGCGCCACGCGTCGGAATATCGTGTTTGTTCTTCGCGCCTTAAATTACTGGCAAAAGAACTTATGAAAGTGTCTCTTACTGATTTTTATAAGTTTACCCTTTAGAGTACGGAGCAGAGCGCGGAGATGAACACTCTATATGGAGCCGATGTTCATCTGATTGCTCTTGTTTTGAACAAATATCAGGTAACAATCCTTTGTTATTTTATATTTTAATTTTAATTGTGGACTTATATGTCCATATGTTTCTATATGTTTCTTTGCAAGATATTGTCAGCGGCAGTTGTATATCTCATAGACAAGGGGGACGAAAAAGGCGAGAAGGTGTAAGAATAGACATCTTCAGATGGAGAAAAAAAGAAAGAATATCTCGCGGTCGCGCCCTCGTCCTTAGGAGGACGAGGGATGACGCCCGCGAAAGATACGCTTAGAAAGAACGAGAGAGAAACGTTGTAGACGAGACGAAGGGAAGACGAAGGAGGGCCGGCAAGCGAATTATTTGCATTTTAATTTGCATATTAAAACATGCCTCCTCGATCGGAGTCGACCCGGGTCTGCGAAATACGATACCCCCGCGTTGCTCCGTGTCCGTCGCATTAGCGTTGTAAAGCTGAGTTACACACGACCGCAAAAGCAACCCGACGGCCCTGAAACCGTTCACGCATGCCGATCTTGAAATATGCACCCGTGGACCCCAAGATCGCCGGATCTCGATAGCGTCCCGTCGTTCTCTCGATCGATCTGCGCCGTGTGCGCGTCCTCCTCCTCCTCCTCCTCCTCCTCCTCCTCTCTTCCTCGCGCGCGGTATTTGCCCAGCGCCCGATAGCGCGCGATACTAATAATTACGGTAATAATAGCGTCTCGGAGAGACATGAGATGACCGCCGCGCCCGGCGCTATCGCGTTTTTTAATCCGTCTACTTTCGCATCGCGTTAACCCACATTTCAGTCTCGCGCTGTGCGCCGTCAATTTTCCGCGACGACGACGACGACGACGACTATCACCATCAAGACATCGTTCGTCTCACTCGTGTCGCGCTTTATGTTATTACCGTATACGTTGTTTCAACGCGAGAGAATGTGGTCCATCGCGCTTAGCGAAATTAATTCCGACCGTGTCCTAAAGCGATAGACGTTAATGTTGTCATACATATTCATGGAATCTCGAGAAGAAAAGTACCTTCGTCCTTCGAAGCGAAAGAGTGCTCCCCGACTCTGGTAATGTTTCTCATCGTTATGACACGCAGCTCTTGTCGACGCGCCGGCCTCCGCCGTGAACTCCCTCGGGTCGCGCGGTAAAAATCGTCGTCGCGTTTTCCCTGGCATTGTCGGGATCCTCGAGCGTCTCTTTGCAGATGCACGCGGCGAGAATGATGCATGCAACGGTCACGTGCGCGAGCGAAAGAGAAAGAGAGAAAGAGAGAACATGCGGAGAGCGCATTGCACGACGTGACCGTCGAAGGGAGAACACCTTTCCGCTTCCCCGCGGCTCCCCGTTATTATCGTTGTTTCGAGCCGTTAATATTAATGGACGTAAATGCGTGTTGCCGTGCTCGGCAGAGAAATAAAGAGGGACAAGGGAGGACAGCGGAGGTGGACGCGCGACGGGGGTTGTGCCGAGGGCAGAGAGACGGCAAGAGAGGTCCGTAAGGGAGGCCGTTGTCTGGCCCCTCCTTCCCCTCATCTCTTGAAGCCTCCTTCACTTGGCTATAATTGAATAGACGCAGCTGTGCGTACGTACTGCGTGTGCTCGTAAAACATTAATGACCAATAGTCGGCGCAAGCGCCGACGATCGTTTCGTATTATTATTTCTTTAAGCCAGAGAGGCGGCCGCGGTGTGTTTAGCCGCGAATTTTCTATGTTTCTGATCTTGTGTAGGTGAGCTACGGCTCATAGGTAGTTTATACCTAGCTTATGTGAGGTAGGAAAGGATAGGATGTGTATGTACGATACATAAACGTTCAATAATTCAGTAAACATTAATTGGTGAAGGTATTTTCAATGGGTAGAACAACACTTTTATGAAAATACTTTTATTTCTTCGTAATCTCTTTGTTATTTATTTTTTCATCATTGGGAATGTATATATGTTAAATATATACATATATATACATATATATTTAACATATATATATATATATATATATATATATATATATTTATATATATTTTTTTAATTATATATATATATTATTAAAAAAAAATATATATATATACATATATATTAATATATATATATATATATATTATTAAAAAAATATATATAAATATATATATATATATATATATATTAATATATATATATATATATATATATATATATATATATATATATATTAAAAAAGTAAACACCGTTGTGAAGAGAATTAAAATATTTTTGAAATGATATATTATTTGACTCCTATTGCTGTTTAAGATTGTTTTGGGGGTAACTCTAATTAAGGGGATGAAGAGATATAGTTAAATTTATCATAATCATATAGCCCCCCTTAACAATATTGACAGGATGTCGACACAATGTGTGTCGACAGAAAAATCAATTAGCTACTTAGAATAATCGGGGTGAAAAGTTTTTATTAGCAGACATACACACATCTGGGAATATATGATGTATTATTATCCGCGTTTTGGCGTCTCGCGTCCTTCGTCTACGTGTTTCTCGGTGCAGCATTTTATTCCTAGCTACACTATTATGAAACTCCGGATGCTGGCTTGTGGCATTAATCCTTGTGTAGATTTGGATCGAAAAAATGTGTTAATTAACACGATACCGTCGAGAGTACGATATGTTGAGGACTGACGAAACGTTTGGTATAACGTAATACTCGGTAACGCAAAAACACGCGTCAAGCGACAATAGCAAAACAATCAGTGAAAAAGAATTACACTGTTTCGCGTCTGTCGCCAACCGTCAATATCTCACTACTAGGCGCGGCCGAGCAATGAAAACAATCAACGCTATCAAAACACTGCGGACCTTCAAGGCGATCGCGCGTCGCGAATCCTCCCGGAAGTTCTCCCATTGTGTCTCGAGCCGGCGATCGAGCATCACGCGTGCCACAGACTACGTGTATCGGTGCGTTAATCCCGGATGATTAACATATTTTATCGGTTCTTAAAATATTTAAGGCTCCTGGCCCCTCATATTGTCTATCTCTTTTTAATGACGTCAGAAGCGAGAAAATGCATGCTAAAAATTCTTGCGAAATACATTGAAATAAAAATATATCCATAAAGTAACACTTGCAATCGATTATATAAATTTATAAGATATTCCGTGCACTCCCCTTTTGCTCTAACAATCAATAATTTATTGTAAATTAATTTGAATAGAAATAGGCGAAGAAATAGGTTATGAAGATGAATTGTATGTCACGTTAATTTACGACAAATTAATGATTGTTAGAGCAAAAGGGGAGTGCATGGAATATCTTACAAATTTGTTTAATCGATTGCAAATATTACTTTATGGGTATATATTTTTATTTTAACGTATTTCGCAAGAATTTTTAGCATGTATTTTTTCGCTTCTGACATCATTAAAAAGAGATAATGACGAGACAGTGCGAGGGGCCAAGAGCCTTAATCAGGCTCTCGTCGGCATCGCGTTATTTAACACGTATATCTTTCGTCGAATCGTATCTACGCGAGTGTCAGTGTCATCGTCACGACGGAGCAGTCAGGACGTTAAGTCGAGAAGTCACGACGAGGAGCATCTGAAAGAGAGAATGCAGGTAACAATACATTATATATATTCCCAAAAATTGTCAAATTATTTATTATACAAGAGGTTTCCGTTTTTAACGGACACTTGGCGTACTTAACAAACAAAAAAATGTTTCGAGTCAAAATTGAAGCCGGCATTCGTAGCCTGCCATTATTTAACAAATAACTGTAGCTTCATCAATCTCAAATTGTTCGTCAACCTATATATGCATTTATTACGTTATCTTTGGAAATAAATATATATAAATTTACAAGAAATACTTTGATTCAAGTAGCAAAATAACAGACTATGAACACGAATCTGTAATTGATTATGTTCTAAATTAAAGATGCTAAATTATTTATAGCTGTGAATACCGGCCTTAAAATTGAATATAAATCTTACAAGTGTTTATTTCTACATTTAATAATGTTTCTTAGTCCACGAACCAAATTTTTATTTTTTTCTATAGAGTCGCAAAATAGATGCTACAATAAATCATGTGTATTATAGATTCAGCACTCTCATTTCTCGAAGTAAACCAATGAAAATTGAACGAGTCGCGTGCATTGAGATGCATTGGTCCGCGAATATCTGTAGTATCTCTAGTTGGAATTCAATCAAATTTAAATCAGCCTCAGAATTTTCACGGGACGTCAATCGTGTTAAGCCGTCGAGAGTCACTTACCTGCGTGATCGTGCCTCAAGGTAAAGGCAATTTCACTGTGTAATGTACACGAGGATGCCGACAGGAGGAGGAGGAGAGGAAGGAGGCGGAGGGTACATTTTACGGCGACGTACTCTTCGTCGTAGAAACGTTTCGTCTTTATTTCCACTTTGCAACGACTTCATTCAAATATACACAAAACCTACAAATATTACATCGTCATTGCGCGCTCGCGCGCGATTGGAGCGGTCGGGCGCCGAAGAGAGACGTTGGATTAGAGTTAGAGAAAATTATAGGATCGTTGGCGAACGCGAGAGTCCCGCGGTTCCCTCGCGTCCTCCCGCGGGTATTTCCCATTAGACGGTCCCGTCTCTTTCCCTCGATTTTTGCGCCCTTCCTTCATCATCCTCGCTTAGCCAAGCGAGCGAGCGAGCGAGCGAGCGAGTACGCGCGCATCGTCATGCGAAAGGACGAGAGAAAGAGGAACGGCGATGGGGAGAGCGAGGGAGAAAGGCCGAGGAGATATCCCGGTTTCCTCGAAGCGTTTCGTACCTGCTACGTACCGGCGAGGTTTGTAATCACGCGTTTAACAGCCAATCGCGAGGCGTCACGCAATCGCGGGGCGAGAGAGCGCGCGCGCGAAACTTCGGGGTCATCGTACACGAAAAGGCAAGCAAACGCCGCGAAGCATGACGAACTAATGGATTAATCGTCGCAAAGCATCGCTCCGGTCGATAGCTCGAGCTCACGGGTTGCACGGCCGAGTCGCGCTTCCGTCGTCCGTATCCCAACGATCCCGACGATGACCTAGACCTCTGAAGGACGCCCGTGATTTCCTCTTCCTGGAAGGCCCGCCGGCCGGCTAGTTTACATTCTACCGTCGATTTTCTCGCGACCGCGCTGCCGGATTATGGCGTGCCCCGCGCGCGTCTTCCGGACGTGTCCGGAAAGTTTAGATCGACCCGTTCAACGACTCGCGTCACGTTGTCCACGTCGTATGACTCGACGTGACCGCGTGTACCACCGTCGCCCGCTCGGTTAGGAAACTTCTCCCGCTCTCGTCGTATTCTTGCATCGAAACGCGTCACAGATTCGACACGCGTGGCAAAACTATAACGAGAAATTACAGAGTCACGTTGTGAATCGATTGAAAGTGGCGTTCCGGTTCGCAAATTTTGAGGTCGCGAAAGCATTTCGCGCCAGTTGAAAGTGTTCTCCGCAATCGAAGCACCTGCGACGATAGAAAGAAAGATCTCGGTTTCGTCTGGCGATTTGATTAACCCTTTGAAGCATAGAACTTTCCAAATTCAAATTTCAGATTCTAATAGAATATTCATGTCACATGTCTAGAACGACAACCCAAGAGATCGTTCCTTTTGAAATTAATTTTTTTCTATTTTTACCAAAACCAAACTGAAGCGAATACTACGAGTAATACAAAAACTAATAGAGTGCATCACTATGCTGAGCGGTAGTTTTATTGTGAGATCACTATTCCTGAAGCTATGATTTGGTTCTGATATCATGGTGAAACCACTGTGTTCCAGAGTTGATCAAAGAGCCTTAGACGATAGAAAAATCTCAATTTGAAATCGATTTAAGACAAAGATACCAATTCCCGGACACGTACCTACTCCTGAATATTCTGATTATATTGATCTTTAAACACAAATATTTAAACGTTTAATATATAGAATATATATATTTTTGTTGTTGAAAGTTTAGATATTAGTATTTGAAGACTAAAACACTAAAAATGTCCAGTATTAAGTACTGGCGGAAACGAAAGAGTAAGAAAGAGTATCAAGTATCTAATAACACTTTCATCCTTTTGAAGAGTTCCGAAACTCTTCTTTGTGTAAAGAAAAGAATTTAGGTAAAACGTTATTAGACATCATTTCCATCAAGGTGGACATTCAGTATTAGGTGCCTGGGCATTGGCACTTTTGCCTTCATTAGTCCGTCGTGACGATCCCGCGCTCGTCACTTGAGTCGAATGCACCTCCTCGACACGTTTTTCACGGCGTGTTGGTCGGGCCAGCGGATATTTTCCGAGTGAAGTTAATTCGCGTTTTTTCGACATCAATGTCACTCAACGGCCGTGGCCGAGGTAATCGCGGAGGCCGCTACTATTAACACGCCTCTCGCGAGACGACAGATTCTCTAATGACGGAAGCCACGGAGAGATGCGGCCTCTGCGTGCTATCCCCGGCGTGCCCCGCTACATCCGCTGCAGCAGCAGCAGCATGCACCGGGGCCCGTAATTACGGGATCATTTTCCTCGGTCAACAGCCTTGTAAATCATCCCGCGCGCTCACGCTCGCGAACTCGCGAGTGCGGGTCCACGGTATCCTCCCGGTGGTGGATGTCCGCGTTCGCGTCGGCGACTCCTCGACGCCCGGATCCTCCGGCGGCAGCGAAAGAAACCGCCGCCGCGGAGCAATTTCCTTGGCGAGCCGTAAATCCCGATCCTCATCGACTCGCGCGCTTGCTCTCTCTCTCTCTCTCTCTCTCTCTCCCTCTTTCTCTCGCTTGCGGATGCGATCGATACATCGCTTCCGTCTCTTCGCGTTTCTTCTTCGTGCCGGAAAGCGCGCCTCTTGCCTGTCTCCCTCCTAATAATACAACGAACGAGAGAATCGACGGCCACTTGGAAGAACAGTTTTCAATTTGACGCGCGTACGAAAGTAAAATGAGTTCTTGATAGATAAGAAACTCGGTCTCTCTTCCTCCCGGTGATTTTTGCCGCTGAAAAAGGAATTCATCGAGTACCGGCTCGATTATTCGATCGTCAGAGGGAAAGAAAGGTAAAAAGAGAGAGGAGAGAGAGAGAAAGAGACGCCTTCTCGAACGACACGCTCACAAGACAAACGTTTGCCGGTACCACTCGCACCTGTAGGCGTGTTTATCGATATCCGCGACCGCGTCGAGGAACTCCCGCGACCTCTCGACCCCTCGCACGTCACGTCATTTGTTCCGGTCGACCCCGGGGCCAGTTACTATCGATCGCGCGGCGATTCCCCAGCGCGGATGTCGGCTCCGTGGAAGGAGGCGTGTGTACCTCAGCACACAGTGTTGTAAATGCCTTCCTCGTCGTCGCCGTCGCCGTCGCCGCCGGTGCTCGCCGACACGTCGGACGAATGGGACAACGCGAGCTTCACGTAACCGCGATCCCGCTCCCTCGTACCTTGATTCTTTCCCAGCGGCTTCTCCACGGGAGAGTCTCGGGACGATGGACTGCCGTCGCCGCTGCCCAGCTCGCAGATTTCGGCGTAGATCTCTTCCGGCTTCGGCGGCGGCGTGGGTGGCAACGGCGTTAGGCTATCTCTCACTTTGGAGTACGGAGGATCCATGTCCGGACTGTTGCCAGTTTGAACCTCGAGCACGCTCGTCGAAATGGAGCGTTGCACCTGCTGCCTGGACGACGGCGACGCTTGACCGGTCAGGTTCGTGTCGGACTCCAGGCTGGCGTAGCGCTCCGGCGATCTCATGCCGATCTCCGGTCGCACCGCGAACGTGAAAGACGCCGATTTCTTGGCCGGGTTTCTGCTCTTGCCACCCTGCGCTATCCTCGAGATCCTGTCGAGGAAGCTGTGGTTGTTGCCGGCACTACGGCTGTTGCTACGGTCGCGTATCGTCGTCCGCTTGATGTGCTCTAAGCCCTCTTTCAGGCTCTGTAGGATCGGTTTCGCCTCCGGCTTCGTTTTTATCTCCTTCAGGTGCAGCTCCTTCAGCTGACCGTTGTTGGCCGCAGGTTTTGGGGGGGCGACTCGTGGCTCGGTAGCTCGCTGATCTAGGGCTCTTCTACAAACCGGCAGCAAAAGTACGTGATCATATCTATGTTATTCTACATCGTACACGAATGTCGGCCATTTCAGGAATGGGGATGAGCTTAAGTAGAAAGATTTTCAGGTAAAACTAGTCACTAGTGAGAAACTGATTAGTTTTTACTGGCTAGAATTTATTAGATAGTAATTATTCCGAAACTGAACCGGAAATAACTGACCATTGTTCCTTGACCAATTACTGGTTAGAAACTGGTAAAGAAAAAATGGTAATTAGAAATGAAGCTACAGTCATCTTAATAATGAATGAATTTATACGTGAAAAGACTCTACCTTCTGAAACACGAGTTTCACATTATTTTTTATATTTAATCATAAGATATAGTACTTTACAATGTGAATCAAACGATGAAAAGTATTTAAATTTGCGAAAAATGCTTGACTAGAACCTTGTAAAAAAGTGGTTAAAAATTGGTCAGAACTGACTTCGTTTAGTTACTTTTATCGTCCAGTTACTGGTGAAACAAGTTTCGCTTAAATTAGCCAGAAATTAGCTAGTAACCAAGGTTTCTGAGCAGTTTCTGGCCCAGAAAGAGGTCGTTTTTTCTATTTGGAAAACTGATTAAAACAAAACATTTTCAATCGGGAGCTAATTTCTATTTTTCTATGAAAAATTTTCGGTCCGGATAAGCAATAATTATTACTTCTGCCGTGTAAAATCTTACCTGCAAGCCGAAAGCAATCGTTGCATCTTCGGCGAGGCGAGCAATCTCGCTTCGGAAGGACACCCCAATCGTGCCCTCTTCACTCGGGGCGCGGTTGGGCCGGTAGCGACGAGTTCCAAGAGCTCCGGTACAGTGGAGTTGGGCAAGGGTCTCTCGGGCATTAACGGCACCGCGCAGCCGAGCACTATCGGTCCTCTGGTCGCATTCTCTAACTGCATCAAACCGCTGTAATCTCGTGGCAACGGTATGGGTAGGGGTCCGGCGACTAAGCGCACCTGAGGGTGACACGCGGAGGTCGTTGTCAGGGAAGAGTCACGAGATATATTCTTCGAGATAAAATAACACAAGGGAGATGAGACCATGATACTCTTATGTATTTTGACGCTTTGAAACCGAATCTGATGTCCACTGATTGCTCTATCACGTCACAATTGTTCTTTTTTTACGAAAAATAGCTCGATTTATCAGTTTCTTTAAAGTCATTTATATGGTCTTATTTTTATTATGCAAACTAGTAAATTAAAAATTATTATCACGTATTCCAATTTATAGAATGATGTACAAGATGTCAGGATTTATATTAACATGATATTTGTATTATTCCTCTCGCATTTTCATTAGCTCTCGGAATTGCCACCTGAGCGGACCACTCGCGATCGGAGCAGCATAGCTGCTATAGCGAAGACACGAGAGGAACTTGTACATATAAATCCTCATATCTTGTACACTATTCTATGAATTAAAATACGTGATAATAATTTTTAATTTACTAGTTTGCATAATAAAAACAGGATCATAAATGGTTTAAAAAAAAATGATAAATTGAGCTATTTTTCGTAAAAAAAAATGGTGACGTAATGGGGCAATTTGGACATCAGATTCGGTTTCAGAGCATCAAGATACATAAGAATACTATGGTGTCATCTCCCGCGCAAACATGACCATTTTTTTATGTACCTGTATAATCAAACAAAATCGTGATATGTACAAATTTTTTGAAAGATCGCCCAGAAAATGCAAATTTGAGAAAGGAAATAGCGACTAAGAGATAATAAAGTTCGACATAAACGTCTCTTGAAATTCACGACTTTACGTAAAATTAATTTGCGTTGAGAATTTTTGTGTTATCATCATATAAAACGATATCAAGCCATCTTGACGTTACGAGAGTGTCGTGGTTGACGAAAGAGAAAGAGAGATAGAGATCGGGATATGCGCGCTGTGTGACATTAATCTCGGGGCGTCGGCGGCGGAACTTTACCCTCAGGGGAAGGTCCCTCCTGGCGAGCTGGTGGACCCTGTAGAGCACCGCGTCGCTGCCGGTGTCGAGACTGCCGCTCTGACAGGTCGCGTAGAACTCGCCTCTGGCCGAGAGCGGCGCGAAGAGCTCGTGTCCGTGAGAGTCCAAGCATTGAGCGTACTGATCTCTCTCCGAGGACCTGGAGCATTTGCCCTCCGGGACCCCGCCGACCGCTCCGGATACGCCATTGGCGACCGGAGCGCGACGGGTGTCCTGGAAGACCGCGGTCAGCCGCAGGACTTCGCCTGCGCGTACCGTCGTCTTCGTGTAGTGGGCTCGCAAGTTGCCGTTTTCTGCGACAGAAATCGACGAAAAGGACGACGTGTATTACGCGAACGCGAGAATTGCCAAGTCGGTGTTATTCATGAAGGAAGTAGATCGAAGGGAAATCGGTCGTTTCTAAACTTTAATCGGCCAAAGTCAACCAATGATCCCCCAATCTGTCTAGGATAGAATTTCCAGGAGGATTAGAGTTTCTTCGTGTAATCCTGAGCGATGTTTACGGAAACGATCCGCGTTAAGACGATTAATCAAGGTTTGTCGTCGAGGCATGAACCCGGTGAAGAATCGCGTCTCTCGCTTGCAATTAATTGGCGCCGGCAAGAAGGGCTTCTCCGACCGACAAAGGCGCTGCGCGCTAGTTAATAACGAACGCGCGGCTAATTAGCTCATTAGCGGTAACTCATTCGTGTATTCGCGTGAACGACACCGACGAGTGGTGTAAAGTAAAGCGTTAAATTGGTAGCGACGTCGAGCTCTCATGGAATAAAAAAAAATCTCGCAGAATAGATCCCGATTACCGTTGATTTATCTAAATCAAACATGAAGCTCGGCAAAAGATTACAATCTACTTACTACCGTCGACTACTCTATCACATTCTTCGCTACCACGGTTCATATGAGACACTACTCTGCATTTCTTTTTTACCAGATCTGTAAATATGAAACCGGAATTTGCCCATAGATGGCCCTAGCTGTCAATGTAGTTACCGTCAAACCGCGTCATTGGCGCCATTTTCTTGTTGACATCTCTGACAAAGATTTTCAACTCACAGCAATACAAGTTTCATACAACAGCATAGTTTGTAATAGCGTTGAACATGTCGAATTTTGTGCCTGGAAACTACGATTTGCGGACAGCAAATTGATTTTCACCATTTGAAGAAAACTGCTGCAGAATCGCATCGAATGCTTGTCGAAGCTTATGGTGAGCATGCTCTTGGTAAATCACAGTGCTTTGAGTGGTTTAAAAAATTCAAAAGTGGCGATTTTGACGTGAGAAACGAAGAACGTGGAAGACCACCGAAAAAGTTTGAAGACAGCGAATTGCAAGCATTGTTGGATGAGGATGATACTCAAACGCAACAACAACTCGCGGATCAATTAAATGTGACACGAGAAGCCGTCTCCATACGTTTGAAAGCCATGGGAAAGATCCAGAAGATGGGAAAATGGGTTCCACATGAACTGAATGAAAGACAGCAGGAAAACCGAAAAACCACTTGCGAAATGCTGCTCGCCAGGTACAAAAGAAAGTCATTTCTCCATCGAATTGTGACTGGCGATGAAAAGTGGATATATTTTGAGAATCCTAAGCGTAAAAGATCATGGGTAACTCCAGGCGAACCATCGACATCGACTGCAAGGCCAAATCGCTATGGACGGAAGACAATGTTCTGTGTTTGGTGGGATCAGAAGGGTGTGATCTATTATGAGCTGCTAAAACCTGGCCAAACCGTTAATACTGAACGCTACCGACAACAAATGATCGATTTGGATCAAGCTTTGCGTGAAAAACGACCAGAATATAAAAAAAGGCAACACAAAGTGATTTTGCTTCATGATAATGCACCATCATACACAGCAAAACTGGTCAAGGAAACGATTGAGGCGTTTAGTTGGGAAATACTTTCGCATACTTACTCACCAAACTTGGCTCCGTCCGATTACTATTTATTTGCATTGATGGGACACGCACTTGCTAAGCAGCGCTTCACTTCTTACGAAAATGTACGAAAATGGCTCGATGACTGGTTTGCCTCAAAAGAGCAACAGTTTTTTTTGGCGTGGTATCCACAAATTGTCAGACAGGTGGGAAAAATGTATAGCTAGCGATGGGCAATACTTCGAATAAAATATTTTTTATCATTTTCATACAATAAATGTGTATTTTCTATACAAAAATTCCGGTCTCATATTTACATACCTGGTACATAATAATATGAAACAATCTGCTCATGTGCATACAGAAAAAATATATATTTGAGTAAATTTTACTTGTTTCAAACATTTCATTAGCTTATATATCTCCAAGCCTGTATGTCACAAATTTATTATTCAAAATACATTCTGAATCCTAATAAGTTTAGCATTTTAATGAAGAACATTAAATTGAAAGAAAAATTTGGTTTACTTATACGTACAGAGTCAATTCTACCTTATTTTCGATACAGTTTTATAATATTCTAAATAGAAGGAATGGATTTTTTTTTCTTTTAAGTACATGATAATGAGCCTGTATGAAGTTAGCCCCCCACTTTTCGAATTTATTAATTTTGACAGTTGTGCTGATTTGTGCTAGGTTTGTGCTACATTGTGCTCGAATTATAAATTTTTAATACGAAAAATGAGCGAGAAAAATGGAAAAAACCGTTTTTTTTGGTAGCCCCCCACTTTTTGATTTTCGAAATTTTTTTTATTGTGCTAGGTTGTGCTAAGTTGTGCTAACATTGTGCTAAAGTATTATCTTCGAAAAATAATCA